ATAGATATAGATATAGATATAGATATAGATATAGATATAGATATAGATATAGATATAGATATAGATATAGATATAGAAATAGATATAGTTATAGATATAGATATAGATATAGATATAGATATAGATATAGTTATAGATATAGATATAGATATAGATATAGATATAGATATAGATATAGATATAGATATAGATATAGATATAGATATAGATATAGATATAGATATAGATATAGATATAGATATAGATATAGATATAGATATAGATATAGATATAGATATAGATATATATAAATATAGATATAGATATAATTTTGTAGGGTGTATGTTTGTGTGTATTGCTTTTTTTTTATTTTAAGAAAAAAAAATTACGTTATGTTATGCTTTTATGCTAAGCGCTTAGATTTTATTTACATATCTTGACACATTCATTTTTAATTCTGGAAATCTGACGACCTCTTCTTCTTCTCTGTTCATAATTATAATGTCGGGTTATATTATTTTACAAGTATTAGGCGTCAACATGTTAAGCGCATCCCCGCTCCCGCCCCACCTCGCTACGCCTCTGCTTGAGAATTTAGCAAACATACACTTTACCAATTTGAGCCGTCCGACTACTACATAAGCACTTGCAAAGTATGAACCTACCTCTATCTGGTATTTATATGCTCTTTTAGGGCCGACGAGAATTTCTTTCTGACTGGTTGCCATTTTATTATGCCGAAGCCTTTTAAATCTTTTTGTTCTGTTATTGTACGAGACTCTATCAAAACCATGTGATATTCTTTTAGATGGGGCTCTTTTCAATACTGTTGCCCTTCTTCTTCTATCAACTCCAAGATAGTAGTATGAATCAGGGGGCAAACACCTGACATTGGTGACACCAATAAAACTTTGAGGGAAGAGTTTTAGAACATCATCCATAAGATTCAGGTCAATTATTGTTTTTGACATTTTTTCCATCGTCGTTTTGTTGACTTCAATGCAGGCGTTACTGCCATAGACAAGCCACACGGCGAACATAAAGTCGTTCATCACTTTTCCTGCTAAAGAAGGAACGTACGATATTTTAAACTGGAATTCGTAAATACAATTTTTGGCATGTAAACATAAGGTTTGACGGAAAGGTAGGGTTGAACAGCTTGGCATCTAAACATTAGGTTTGACGGAAAGGTAGGGTTGAACAGCTTGGCATGTAAATATAAGGTTTGACGGAATGGTAGGGTGGAACAGCTCACGATTCTTAGCCCAAAAGTATCAAGCTAGGATCTCGGGCTCGAGTCAGTAGGACGTCCCTGAGTTCACCCAGCTCTGATGGGTACCTGGGTCACTTTAGGGTACAAGAAGGCGGCTGAACATAGTGCTGACAACGCTTATCCTTCATATGCCGAAGTCACAGAAACAGATAAACTCTGCTCCATCAGACTCTTTGGACCACGAGGTTCGATAAGTAAACTAAGTTGTTACATTAGGTATTATATTTCTATTTTACACAAGATTAAGTCAACAAAGATTTAAATGTTGCCTGTCGTATAACAGCATTAACATAAAGCATAAAGATTGTAATGATCTTACACTATCTTATTAAAGTAACTTACCAGTGCATGTTGAAATACGAGGTCAACTTTAACATAAACCATAAAGATTCTAACATCCATATAAACATTAACATAAAGCATAAAGGTTCTAATGATATTACACTATCTTAATAAAGTAACTTACCAGTGCATGTTGAAATACGAGGTCAACTTTAACATAAACCATAAAGATTCTAACATCCATATAAACATTAACATAAAGCATAAAGGTTCTAATGATATTACACTATCTTAATAAAGTAACTTACCAGTGCATGTAGAATTAGTAGGTATTGTAGGCCTCCATCTTTTAGAAGTCCTTGTGCTGCATTCATAGTCAGAATCCAATTTGGGTTTATAAAAACCTTCATCACAATCGAGAAAATATCCATCAATATGTTCATAATACTTAATCCAGGAATTCTTTATTGGTGTTTTCGGTCGGCAATCTAAGTCTGAAAGAAGAGTAATACTCAGAAAACTACGAATACGATATATATATATATATATATATATATATATATATATATATATATATATATATATATATATATATATATATATATATATATATATATATATATATATATATATATATATATATATATATATATATGATTTTAGTTGATCTGATTTTTTGTATTGACTGTCATATGTTTTTGGTTATTATGTTTAATATTATTTATAGTCCTATATAATAATTGTAAGAAATGTTTGCCGTATAAATTTGTCATATTGCACTAAACATTTTAAAATTGGTTTTAGTAATATAGTATACGTTGATTACAGAAATTTTTTCAATAGCGTAATTGGGCTTATGGGACGGAGTGGTCTAGCAGTAGAGAGCTGGACTGCTAACCCGTAAGTCTCGAGTTTGAATCCGGGTTCAAGTCAGTAGACCGTCCCTGAGTCCACCCAACTCTGATGGGTACCTAACTCGCGTTAGGGAAAGTAAAGGCGGCTGGGCATAGTGCTGACCACACTATCTCTTCATATGCCGAGGTCACAGAAACAAGTGAACTCTACTTCACTTGCCCCATAGACCGTCATGTTTGAAAAGGGAACTTAATAAAGAACATTAAATCTATAATTGGATTTGTGTTTATTGGATTTCACAGAACTATACCAAGGCCGAGTCATCATCTTCTTCACCCCCACTCTAACAACTGGGGGGGGGGCGTTGGTTCTCTCATCACCCCCACCCTCACAGTATGTAATAGGTCAATTCAAAGCAAATAGTTTTCGTCTTCTTCTTCTTATTATTATTATTTAAAATGACATGTTTTAAAAAAATACATTTTGAAATCTATAAATCAGAAGTCAATAAATAAAGTGAAAAAAAAACTCCAGAGACAAGAATAAAGCATGGAAACCGTAATGAATAATTGGCGAGAAAAGTAAATGGATTAGGTCGGCTGGCCACATTGACAAATTTTTCACGTTTTTTCGTCTGCCATGAAATGAGTTGCCAAACATATTGAAGCAATTATTCATGCCCAATCTTAGCGGCTCCTTAAAATTGTTTTTTTAATAGAACAGGTTAAATAGGTAATAAATGTATTAAAAAGTTAGTATACCCATAAAAGGTAAAAAGTAACATCTATTTGGTCGCAAAAGAAATTATTTTCTAGTATATTAAAATAGAGGTCGAAGTTTAGCCTTTGTATATATATATATATATATATATATATATATATATATATATATATATATATATATATATATATATATATATATATATGTATATATTGTTGTTGTTTTTTTTTGTTTTTTTTCTTTGTATGTGGTGGCATTATGAGATACCACGCCACGTGAAACCCGACCTTGTGACGCCGCTACTCAAGCTATTTCTTAATATTAAAATACAATTCACACACTTTTTTTTCTTACCTTGGCAAAGCAAAGTCAACTTTTCATCTTCCCACGAGGATATGTTAAGCACCTTATCTGTTATACATTTCATTGGCATCTTCTTTTTTTCTAATCCAGGGATTCTGCACACAGCTAACTCCCCGTCAAGCATGACAATATCAGAAATATTTAATTTTCTTAAGGCTTCCTCACGGTCACCGCAAAGTGTTTCTATAAAAGGAAAAAAATATATATTCAATAAAATAGACACACAAATATATAAAGATATGTCGTACAATTTGAATTTAAGATTTGTTTGAAATAGGTTCGATTGAATCCTACTAAATTAGAATTAAACAGTCGAATTCTGACATATTATTTATGTGTATTCAATTTTTGTTACATGTCTTTTGATAATTTTGCATGAATGTTGTGTTCTGTTTGTTTTATGCTATCCATATGAAGATGTTGGGTGAAGCCAATGTAGATTGCAGACTTTGATGTCATCCTCGCCAAAAAGTTGCTCGCTCGTGCTACACTTTCCCATTTGGTTCCATGTTTCAAATTTGATACAAAGCAGGTTTGTAGTTTACTTCAAAGCCACTGATGTTTGTTCAAATATTTAGAAGTTTGCTCACTGCATGCTTTAGTGACATCTTGAACTGGCGCGTGAGATAGGACAGCAAAACAGAAAACTGCGAATTTTTTACTTGTGTCACGTCCTCCATATTGACTTTTGTGGTCATGATGATTTAAATATAATTTATACGATTTGCATATTCATAATATAACAGTGAAATGTTGGTGGATTGTATCTTGGGAGTGTGTTTTGTTGAGAGGAGCGAGATTGCATCAGGGAGACAGTGGCTGTGCGCATGCGCGAAAGGACAGGAGAGGAAGGAGGCAAGAAGATGGCGTAGCTTGGGTGAACATGCGGCCTGTGTGAAAACGAAATAAATATGAAAAACTGCAAAAGAATGCTTGTCTTGTGATTTCGTATGTGTAATATAAAAGGTAGGAGAGAGGCCTGTGACACATAACTTATAAGCATTACTGTATATGGACAAACCACCTGTGGTCAAATCAGCTAGGGTCAAAGCCCCGCTGTGGTTAAACGCCCTATGGTCAAAGAACCGGTGTTAAAAAAGCTACGCGTAACATTCATAAAAAAAAATCAGATCGAAAGATTTTTATTTTGTAGAAGAATTTTTGTAGGTATATGTGCTAGTGATTGTGTTTTTTTGTTACTGTCTCGTTTACGGGGTAGGCCTATAGGAATTCTTATCGTGCAAAAAAAAACGAGAGTTTAAAACATCTCGACGTTTTACACCTCACTAAGTCGGAAAAACTTTGCTTTGCAATTTTGTCTGTCTGTCTGTCTGTTTGTCTGTCTGTATGTCTGTATGTCTGTCTGTCTGTCTGTTTGACTATCTGCCTGCCTGCCTGCCTGCCTGTTTGTCTGTCTGTATAAAATTGGGTTCCCAGAAGATTGCGTAACGGAAGAAGGCGGAACGAAAAAATGCGCAACAGATAAATTGAGCATTTTTCTTGTTCCCATATAATGGTTGTCAATGTTCTTTTATAAACAATAAATAAATTATCTTACCCCAATTAACGAGTTTCTGTATGATAATCATCTATTACCTTTAACATCAATGGTGATGACGCAAACAGCCGAGTTTTCATTTCGATCTGTGGCTGTAATGATCTCCTCCACCCTCGGGCGTGTGTACCAGGACTTGTCTGGGGGTCCCAGCCTGACGCTCAAGTCTGTGTCGACGTTATCTACAACTCGCAGGGTGCGGCCTGTCATGTTTTTTCTCTCTTCTATTCTCAGCGCTCTAGTGGGGCAGTCCAGGAACACTGGCTTCTCTTTGTCTATACATTTAAACTTAATATAAATAGTGGGGCAGTCCAGGAACACTGGCTTCTCTTTGTCTGTACATTTAAACATAATATAAAGCTGTACACCAGGAACACTGGCTTCTCTTTGTCTATACATTTAAACATAATATAAAACTGTACACCAGGAACACTGGCTTCTCTTTGTCTATACATTTAAACATAATATAAAGCTGTACACTAGAGACTACTCATACAAAAAACATATCAACTACTAGTCACAGAGAATGACAAGCACACTACACATCATCTACAATTGCAAGGACATTGGCAACAAAACAAATTACTCATAAACTACAAAAATCAGTTCAATGTAAGCAAACAAGCTAAACATCTATTGACGTATATTTCTAGACATAGAAACAACTTTAATTCATCATTTCATGATTTTAAAACTATTATGAAAAATGCCGTCTTTGTGTAATGTCTTGAAGTAATTTGATATATTTATATATTTTGTGCTACAATGTGTTGAATTGAGGTATTCGTATTTTATCCGAGTGATATGTTGTCTTTAGATCTATGCTACTTTCATATGCGATATTGTTACAAATGGAAGCTAAAGAATATTTTCATGGCGGTGCGAAATCTGGGTTTTTAGAGTATAGCATGATTAGTTTCGAAACGTCGCCTGAAAGCTAATATGACTCTTTTTAAAAAGAAATCAAATAGCGACGCAAAAATAAAAAAATAAAAAATAGCAAGACGGGGATAGAAAATGCACTGTCAAAAACCCTCCGAGAACATAAAGTTAAAAATTCTCTATCAGACCTGTTGCTACCAAGAAGAATGAAGAATACATCTTTTAGCATTTGCTTTGACAGCGTACCTATAAATTTCTGATAGTTACCTTCACACAAAGTATTACTAGACCACTGTAAAATTGGTAGGCAGATGATGGTTAGAAACTTTGTAGGGACCAGACCATCCTTGCAGTTTAAAGAACACATATCGCCAACGTTGTACCCATCCGGACAGGTATAGCTTTGGTCTGGTTTAACACATTGCACTGAAAAAAAACATTTTACGTTTCTGTTATCGAATTGTAATAGGAAATTACTTTGTCAACACTTGTTATGATTAATTTAACCGAAGACAATTTTGTATTCCAATCTTGCAAGTAATCGATCATTCAAGTCTAGTGAAATAAGCTAGATACCATTCACGATTGAATCCAACGCATTCATATTTACCAACTTCCAGTCTATTATAGGATTATCTTAATTTAAGTAAATGTACAATAAACTTCAACCTCAATTTATTAAAAACATTTAAATATAATAAGTTACATGATACACTTGAAAACATTACCATGCTTGGTACAACGGAGTACAGAACATATACTGACACTGAGAAATGAGTACCACACAACAGAGGACATAACATATACTAACACTGAGAAATGAGTACGACACAACAGAGGACAGAACATATACTGACACTGAGAAATGAGTACGACACAACAGATGACATAACATATACTGACACTGAGAAATGAGTACGACACAACAGAGGACAGAACATATACTGACACTGAGAAATGAGTACGACACAACAGAGGACAGAACATATACTGACACTGAGAAATGAGTACCACACAACAGAGTACATAGCATATACTGACACTGAGAAATGAGTACCACATCAAATGATGCTCGGCAGAAGGAAACAAAACCATCTTGCGTCTTAGCCTCGTAGGTCACATTGTACACAATCGCTCTCAGCAAAGTGCCAGACTTTGGACCAGACGTCTGCCGAGTCCTGGGGATGGTCAACTTGTTAAACTCATTTTTTCTAAGTGCTAAAGCCCAGTAAATACCTAGTAATTTATCAGTGTAAGAAGAAAATAAATCATTTATAAAAGCATGCCTCAGAAAGATCCTGCGAATTCTCTGGCCAAAAACTATCAGAAATGTTGTTCTATGGCAACGGACAAATCAACTGCTGTTTCAAGTAGAGATCCTTCACAGAAAATGGAAATGGATTGGCCACACTCTCAGGGAGCCTGTATCCAGCATAACAAGACAAGCCCTCACCTGGAATCCACAGGGCAGGAGGAGGAGAGGCAGACCAAGAAAGACCATGAGACGAGACCTGGAAGAAGACACCAAGAAGATTGGATACACCTGGGGACAGTTGGAGAGACTAGCCCATGACAGAGACGCCTGGAAAACTCTTGTCAGCGGCCTATGCCCCAGGAAGGGCAACAGGCAAAGCTAACCTAACCTAATGTATCAGTGTGTTTGAGTTTTTAGGATGCCGTGGAGTTTGTGCATATCTTGTATTATCAAAGATTAAGTTTATACATTTAATTTATTCGATAGCTTATGCACACTATTTGCTAAGAAAAAAAATCACAAATATTCCCACTGAAGTTGTGAAATGTATGATCTCGCTATTGATAAGTGCTCAGTTTTGTTTCATAAGGCGCCTGAATAATAGGAATCTTTGCCTCGTAACAGTTAAATATGTACCGTGCAAAGGTGGAATATGTGCGGATTGAAACAGGAAATATGTGTGTCAAAAAAGTTAAATTTGTACAGAAATTTAAACAGTACGAAGGTCGAATATGTATGAAATTGGAATTAGTGCCTCGAAACAGTTAAATATTAACGGTGTAACGATGGATCTGTGAGAATTTAAATAGAAGTTACGTGAAATTGGAAGCTGGGCAGTGTGCAAGTTGAATCGCTGACCGGCAAAGGTGGAATTTTCCGTCGTGTGAAATTGGATTATATTCCTCGTTAATGTTAAATTTATGAGTGTAAAAGTGTATTGTGTGTAAATCGTTCCATTAATAAATGAATTAGACGTGGAGGGATTCTTTAAATAAATAAATGTGTTTATCGATAATGATTTTAATTTTTTTTTTAATATATTCCTAAAATATAATATTGTTGTCTAATTTGCTAATTTTAATATGTTAGAATATAGAGCACTTGCGAGATATAATGCAGTGAGTTGTATCAACAAAAAATGAATCAAACGTAGGAATATTTACCTTAACTTTCCTTCAATAGGATGATTAGCTGTTGCTGGCTCCCATGTTATAATCTTAGAAGGTAAAAATATTTTTTTAATATGGCACATTATGGTATATCAAGCTACGAGGAGCTTTAACCACAGGGGCTTTTACCATAGGTGGTTTGGCTACAGCGGGGCTTTTATCATAGGTGTATTTAATATTTGTTACATACAAGGTAGTATTTAGGTGAGGGCTGTGCATATTTATGTTGTAATTGAAGTAAAAAGTCCCATCTTATAACCGTCGAATTCAGAAGGTTTAGTTGCTTTGACTAAACGTGTTTTGGTTCGACCATAGGTAGTTTTACCACAGCGAGGCTTTGACCGTATGGGGTGGTCTTGTGGTAGAGTACTAGACTGTTACTCGAAAGTCTCGAGTTCGAATCCGGGTTGAAATCAGTAGAACGTCCCTGAGTCGACTCAACTACGATGGCAGCTTACGTTAGGGAAATTAAAAGCGGCTGGGTATAGTGATGCCCACATTATCTCAAAAACAAGTGAACTCTACTTCACTTGCCACACGGGCAATTAAGTTTGAAAAGGGAACTATTACTTTTAAATGTTAAAGACTTACGTATGTATATCCTCCGGTTGCTAGTCTAAAGACACTTGGACAAATTATGGTTGGTAGAGCGAGAGTTGGACCTGTTTTTGTGTTGGTAAAATATTTAAAACATTTACTTAACAAATAATTACTGCATTTGTAGCTTGTTTATTTTTGTTTTAGAATATTAATTCGTCGTTATTTTATTATTACAAATATAGAATATATAGGTCAGCTACATATATAATACAATTCTAAAATTAATCTTTAAAAGAGATTATTTCGTGAATATAACATTTTAAAAATATCGGCACAAGCCTTGCAATGTGTAGCTACAGCTATACTTATAGAGAAAACTTGTTTTGAAAGACCTGTGCAAAACATGAATGAGATAACTACTCGACTATACAAGCTATTCCTTCTGCTTACTTTTACTTGAGCCGATTATGAACCTATACAAGAAGTAGTTTGAGATAGAAAGACATAGATAGAGAAAGGCTGACAAAGAGGCAGAGTGAGCGAAGGAGACTAAATTAAATGTGACGTTGGTGCCAGCACCTGACTTCACATGTCTAGTCTATAATCGGGTAGCTATTTGTCCTTACGTTGGTGCCAGCACCTGACTTCACATGTCTGTCTAGCCTATGATCGGGTAACTATTGGTCCTTACGTTGGTGCCAGCACCTGACTTTACATGTCTGTCTAGCCTATGATCGGGTAACTATTTGTCCTTACGTTGGTGCCAGCACCTGACTTCACATGTCTAGCCTATGATCGGGTAACTATTTGTCCTTACGTTGGTGCCAGCACCTGACTTCAAATGTCTAGTCTATAATCGGGTAACTATTTGTCCTTACGTTGGTGCCAGCACCTGACTTCACATGTCTGTCTAGCCTATGATCGGGTAACTATTTGTCCTTACGTTGGTGCCAGCACCTGACTTTACATGTCTGTCTAGCCTATGATCGGGTAACTATTTGTCCTTACGTTGGTGCCAGCACCTGACTTCACATGTCTGTCTAGCCTATGATCGGGTAACTATTTGTCCTTACGTTGGTGCCAGAACCTGACTTCACATGTCTAGCCTATGATCGTGTAACTATTTGTCCTTACGTTGGTGCCAGCACCTGACTTCACATGTCTAGCCTATGATCGGGTAACTATTTGTCCTTACGTTGGTGCCAGCACCTGACTTCACATGTCTAGTCTATAATCGGGTAACTATTTGTCCTTACGTTGGTGCCAGCACCTGACTTCACATGTCTGTCTAGCCTATGATCGGGTAACTATTTGTCCTTACGTTGGTGCCAGCACCTGACTTCACACTTCTGTTGCCACCAGCCCGAGTCACAAATGCGGCGACAATTGGGTTCAGCTGGAGAATGGAAGTACGTCCACGATCTTTTCTTCCGTTTCCTAGTGCGACGAATTGGCTTTTTACTGAACGAATCTAAAAACAAAAATTATAACCAATAGTGGAGCGTTGGGTTAGCGTTGTTGGTTTGGTTAAGCTCATGGTTACTAAAATGAAAAGTCTACAATTCGAACCCCCGGGCAGATGAGGTTTGACATGTGGAAATTATTTACTTAACTGTAACTAAGAAGAAATCTTCCCTTTTCGTTTGGAAATAAATGAACACACACTATTTGCCCCTAAACAATATCAACACGAACTAAAATTTAATTTTATCTATGCTGTGAAACCAACAGTTTAATATTGCATTACTTTAAAAAAAAATCTGATGATGAGTTTTTTTTTTATTATTTTAAACTTGTAGATCATTATAAAGTTACATACAAACATACAGATACATACTGTCAAAAAAAGAAACAATAGTTGGACAAAACATGGGCTTTTTATGTACAATGTAAATATCACGTCTAAAAGAATTCATACTATTTTTTAAACAAAATTTTGGATGCTAACATTTTAATATGGAAAATACTAATGTAAGTAGTTGCTTTATTTTTCAAAATGTTAAAAAAAATGTATATTTCATAAATGCGTAGTCAAAAAGGGACAGGGGTGTTACGTAATCTGACCAATACTGTACTGAACTTACCTAAGTGAATCCATTGGGCATTACGACACAACATGTAATGGGATCCATGGGAAGAAGTGAATAGACATACAGAGTCATGCCTGGCAGCAATGGAGCCTTCAATAGAAGCCTCTAGTGGGGATATCTCAATCTTTTGTTTCACAAGAAACTTCTGGAGCCCTGGAATCGTGAGCGCTCTGTAATAAAACACGATCAGAGTTGTGAAAATTTATAAACTGTGTATAGAAATAAATGTGTGTTTTATAGGTTTTCCAGACAATCTCCGTTATGTAAATAAAAAGACTCACTTTCTCTGGGACCAACTAGCTAGTGAAGAACATAAACTTGTGTTCCCATCACGGTACATTGGGCAGTCCTGTAAGAGAAACAACAATTCTAAGCTCTACTTAGATACAATTAAGACAAAGCGATGATAATAGTGGGTACTATAACATTGGGCAGTCCTTCAAGAGAAACGACAATTTTAAACTCTAGGCCTACTTAGATACAACTAAGATAAAGCGATGCTAATATTGGGTGGTGTAACATAGGGCAGTCCTTCAAGAGAAACGACAATTCTAAACTCTACTTAGATACAACTAAGACAAAGCGATGATAATATTGGGTGGTTTAACATAGGGCATTCCTTCAAGAGAAACGACAATTCTAAACTCTACTTAGATACAACTAAGACAAAGCGATGATAATATTGGGTGGTGTAACATAGGGCATTCCTTCAAGAGAAACGACAATTCTAAACTCTACTTAGATACAACTAAGACAAAGCGATGCTAATATTGGGTGCTGTAACGCATTCTCTTGCCCACAGTTAGCTATATTCTAACGTTCATCTTTAACCGAATTCCTTCACTAATTTTACCACTGCCGGTTTTCGGAAATCGACCAAAAGTTGAAAGAAAACAACTACAGATTCGATTTAATACATGTTAATATATATGCTAATTACCTCAACCTAACTGAAACGGTTCTCAAGTTATTAAGACATACACACACACACACACACACAAACATACAAACGGTACTTAAAAACTAAGTTGTTTCGACTACTTTTTTTTTCCACGGTTACAGTACAGCCTCTATACATCATATAAAGAGAAAAAAAATATTTTCCCGACAATAGCTGAAACAAAATCACTATTGCCACCATAATCTAGACCACACCCTTAATCCGGAAGCTATTCTTAACAAAATCCCTAATCCTGACACACGTGTAAAAAAAATAGATAATCAGCCACAAGTATCGACCAAATCGCTAATTCCGCCACTTGCTTTAATTCAATCTCGGAACTTATGCAATAGTATAATTTCAATTTTTTTACACTAATTACTTTACACTAATTATAAGAGAGTGTTAGATGTATTTGAGTCTAAAATTTACTTTTATCAAAGTTTAGGCTAAAATTTACTTATATCAAACTTGAGGCTAAAATTTACTTATATCAAAATTGAGGCTAAAACTTACTTATATAAAAATTGAGGCTAAAATTTACTTATATAAAAATTGAGGCTAAAATTTACTTATATCAAAATTGAGGCTAAAATTTATTTATATCAAAATTGAGGCTAAAATTTACTTATATCAAAATTGAGGCTAAAATTTATCTATATCAAAATTCAACTCTAACCACTGTACCTGTTTGCTTTGTTTCTTCGCTAATGTCAAGCCATATATCAATAGCAAACACGTCCAATGTACAAACATTATCTGTGAGTTGTCGTTCTTTGTGACTGTGGACACTGACGTTCATCTGGAAAAGACAACAGAAAAACTCAGTAGAATTGGCAGACGATAGTGTTTTTCACTCTCTGAATATCCGGAAACAAATATACAAACACTTTCTTACACTAGTATTGTATTATTACTTTTCAGGAAGAATTGTCCTCTGTTTGTCATCATTTGATAACAGTTTCATTCACCCACGTATTGATAAGCTTCATTTTTTTTACATTTGTTTATAAAGCCGTCTTATAATTGACCAAAATCCTCGTAATCGATATGTATTATAATCATGATATTTTTTTATTTTTAAGAGTAAGAAAAAATCAAATATAGTTTTCTTTTGAAATACAACGCTTTAAATCAATTTAAACCAAGAATATAAAACAAATTTTCTCTCTTAAGTAAAAGAAGTGGTTGTTGATAAAATATCTGACATTCGTGAAAAACAGCTACCCTGCGTTAGAGGGCTGATTGTTTGATGGCTAGTATTCCATTGTTATTGTTTATTGTATTAGTCAAAATAGTTTTTAACTGCAAATTAAACATCTTGTAAGACTAAAAGTAGATATTCTTCATTGACGGACAACAAAAACAACGAATTCGAAATAGGTAAATATTACGTTATAAGAATTGAACTTTGAACTCATCCCCACATACCAACGTACAGGCAGACATACAGACATTGTGAAAGAATAGGCTGGTTAAAAATGGTTATTGCCAGAGACAGTAGCGTACGCAG